CTTCTGTAATTAACGATCGAGCGAATGTCCTACTTTTGGTGAAATTGTGGAAAATAAAAAAAGAAGTAAATTTGAAGAATGGACAAGTAGAAATTATATATGTATATGGTATATAAACATTACTTACACATACATATGTATACATACATATATATGTATATAGATTCAATAAATAATTAAAAATTATTCACGTCAAATAAAATTGTAAAGATTATAAAAAATTAAAAACCATCGGTTTTTTACTTGACAGCCGCTTCAGCATTTATTTTTATTAGGATTCTTGGAAATTCACATACACACTTATGTATATGTATAAAAATATATACTACACACATATGTATGTTAGTTATAAGTAAACTATTCAATTCGTTTTGCTGATATATCAACGAGTTTTGTGCTTCCTCTTCTTCCCAAATAATTTTCAGGGATCTTCATTGCGTTCGCGACGCTCGCCGTGCTTTAACTGTTCCTCGGTCGACAAATTCTTCGGTCTTATCATCATGCGCGCCTTTTGTAGAGAGTAGTCACCACGCCATTGCTCCCAAATGATGCCCACGTAATTGTGTCCGCTTGGTGTTTCACGATAAATACCATTTAAGTTCGCCTCCGAACAACTAAAACCCATGCATGTATTAATAAATATTTATTTAATATCCTACACCTACACACTCACTTGTCAAACCACCAACCACTCGCATAACCAGTGGCACATGCGCAACATGCATCCACACTTTTGTCGTTGCGTCGATCATAGGTGCTGAAGTCCATTTCATTGTGATAATGCATTGCATCGGGTACTGTGCCGCTATAGCCACCGATCAGTAAATTGTAATTGTAACGCTCACTGTCCAAGCGAAAGAATGAATATTCGGCCCATACGTGTGCTAATAGTTAACATACAAACTTGTTAATGATTACGAAATTTCATAAATTGTTACTCTATTATAGGCTTACCCTCCTCAAAATCGGTTAATTCAATGCGCAGTTCGTAGTCATCTCGATCAACCAGCTGATGTATGAATTCGTTGCCAAACCAAAACTCTTTGTTCAACTCACCAAATCCATTTCTATACTCCACCCATGAACGATTGAAGTNCTCACTGTCCAAGCGAAAGAATGAATATTCGGCCCATACGTGTGCTAATAGTTAACATACAAACTTGTTAATGATTACGAAATTTCATAAATTGTTACTCTATTATAGGCTTACCCTCCTCAAA